TCATGGATCTTGACCATTTGCCACTCGCTCCCGTCTGGGTTCCATCTAGTGATCGGGATGTTGTCACAATATACCACTCCTCGGGCTCAACTTCAGGAATGCCGAAATCGATCCCTGTGACAGTTGGATGGCTGGACTTTTGTATAATCAAGATGCAAGAACTTCTTAAACAGAAAGAGGAGACTGTCATCGCGGCGAAGTAAGTCATTGCGTTACTGGCCCAATCAGTTCCAATGCGCAGCAGTCAACTAATATGTCTCAACAGCGGGACCTTCGCCCACCCAGCTATTTTCATGATCACGACTGGTGTTCATGCTAGCGTCGGTTCAATTATCCTACCAAAGGAAATGCCCTGCGGTTCGAGTGAAATCAAACTGATGGTTAAGGAATATGGGCTGAACAGCCTGTTCATGTATTCCTCGTACCTAGCCGATAGACTGCGCGACGCTCACAGCGACCCAGAATTGCTCAGGGCTTTCCAAAGCCTTGATGAGGTCATATTCGGTGGCCTTCCCCTTGAGCAAGAAGAGGCCTCTTGGGCTCGTGCCCAAGGAATGAAGATGAAGGAAGTGTTCGCCAGCACTGAGCTCGGAGTTCTTATGAGGTCTGTGGGAGGCAATGGGCCGGATTCAACCCTTCTTCAACCAATGAATGGAACTTCTTACAAACTCTTACCAATAAACAGCGGGAATCTGGACGAAAAAGAAGTTTCCGCCAGTGAACAGTTACTGGAGCTCGTCGTTTCTACGGAATCCCGAGACTGCCCTGTGCCTGCCTTATGCAACAAGGAAACTGGCAATTTCCACACTGGTGATCTCTTTGTCGAGGTCAAGCCTGGCCTCTATGAGTCTAGAGGTCGAAATGATGATTGGATTAAGATGTCTTCTGCTCTCCGCTGCGATACGCTAGCTATTGAGCAGAATATCATGGAGAAGTGTGCTTTTGATCTGATCGATCGAGTGGTCGTGGTTGGAAGTGGACGTCCCTCTCCGGCGGTGCTGGTCGAGCCCAAGGCCGAGCAAGCCGATCCTCTGTCGCTTAGCAAGGAAATTCTTCGCCGTATCACCCCCTTCCATGAGAGAAGATACATGCATGAAAGGATTGACCATGCTCGCTACGTCATCGTTTTGCCCCATGGTTCATTGTCCAAAACGGCCAAGGGAAGTGTGCAAAGGAAACTCGTGGAAAGGACTTTCCAAACTCAGTTGGACCAGGTCTACGCCTCAGCTTGAGTAATCTATCGCAAGACATGAGGGAGTGATCATGACAAATTAGTTTCATAGCACCAGGGGAAAGAGATTGTCAGAGCAGAAGAGTTGCCAGCTTGTTTGGCTTACAAATACTGAATTGCGCGTTTGCCTATGCCATTTATATTCTCCGTGATAAAAGTACCCCCTCAAACAACCTCCTAAAAGCTGACACGTCCATAGCTTTCCGGACTTACTTCCCCAATGTTCAATCATTCTAACTGATATATGGCACGATCAAATGTCGTTCACCGCCAGTCTCGGGGGGTGGGGGTCCATGAACCACATTACTTTGATATTCCCTTATCTGTTCTCCAATCTCGGTCTCATCTGGGGATAAAGTCTAGAGAACGCATAAATGTCGCATACATGGTCCTTTAGACTCGCAGCTCCCCACCCTCAATGGAACACGAATATCCCGGCTAAGGCGAACAAACCGATTCGACAAATAATCTAAGCGTCTATGCCACATTTTGGTACAGTTGGACACCTCTAAATTAAGGTTATCGAATGTTGGGCCCAGAGCCCATTGCCACAAAATACGAAACCAGAGGCGGGGGAACTGAACAAAAGAGTTCCCCAAAGTCCAATTACCCGGTTATTCTGTCAATTGTATCTACTGATAGATAGATGAACCTCCATTAATCCGGGAAATACCTTATCTGTGGAGTCCATATGCATACAACTAGATATACAGTATCTTCTTGATAACCCACAAACCTCCAACGTGGGATCAATGAGTGCTGGAAAGGGCACCTGAGATAAAAGATTGGCCATATCTAAAGAAATAACTTTATAATATTAATGTGTAATAGGTATTGTATGGCCACAAGGTGTGCATGCCGAGATAGGGCTATGCTACGGCTGCGCTCGCTCTCTTTCCCGTTAGGGTGGCAGACTATATATATTCTATCCTTCTTGCCTTTGATTGTTCTTCTCTGAATTCACGATTCAAGGAAAGTAATTTTCCGAATTCGCCTCTTTGCGTACTTACTCAGCTAACTTGTCTTCAAGTCTAGAGAAGGAAACTCTCTATCACCGCCATGTCTCCTACTCTTTTTTGGATTATGTCTCTATTAGCGGTCGCTATTGGTCCCGCCTCAACATCGCCACTTACTTACCTTGGTAACAAGGGTACGGTCTTATGTATGAATGGCCATTGATATACATCATGAGACATCTACTAAATGCTGCCATAGCTGGCGGTGTTGCAACCAAAGACTTGGTCTTTGTCAGTGGAACTACGCCATCAATTAATGGAACAATTCCAAAGGGTATAGAGGCTCAGACGGTAAGTCATAAATATTTCGCTTTTTACTCTTCATTACCGCGCAAAAGCCATCGGAATAATACTGATTATACGTCATCTCTCAGGCTGCTGTAATCAACAACATAGCTGCTATTCTAGAAGAAGCAGGGACGTCGTGGGAGTATGTTTTGAAGACGACAGTATACCTTGCCGATATGGGTGACTTTTCTGTCATGAATGCAGTATATGGAAGCATGTTGCCCAGTCCCGAGCCGGCCCGAAGCACTATCCAGGTTGCGAAATTGCCTGGGGATTTCGTCATAGAGATCGAAGCAACGGCCGCCATTCCGCGATGCTGAATACCAACCAATGGAAGATATTAAATGAGAAGAAACATGGTCAAATTGCCAGTGATTTTACGTGCAATTGATCTATTGTGGATGAGAATGGTGTGATGAATTGAAATCAACAGATCAGATTGTATCTACTTACGTCCCTAGATCTACGTCCTAACATGGGATAAGTCGATGATAGGAATTAAGACATTCTGGCACGTTTGAAAAAGGTCTACAGGCCTGGCAGTGATGTCACACACAATACCAGAAATCATGCGTAACCCGAAACGCCGCTCTTCAGCCACCTACCCTAGAGCCCACCGAGCCGAAATTTATGTTTGCTTTGTGTCGGTTCCAGCTCCATCCCCATCGCCTCTCCTTCCATCTTCTTTCCACCCAACAGTTGACTGCCTTGATCAGTCCATCACTTGATACCCCTGCTAATAATCGACATTGTGTGGTAACCTACCACTGCCACACCCGTCACGATGACTTCCTACCGCTCACGACAGGCCAAGCCCTGAGGACGCGCACTTCCGCTTCTGCGCGATGATCTCGGGCTGGTTGTCTACCTTGGCGCTCCGCCCTACGTATCCCACCTGGCTCGCGATATCTCCCTCCCTGCCCAAATCGATCCGGCCGATTGCTCCGAGAGACCTAAATATTGCACAATGCCCATCGCACCCTGCGCGAGAATAGCGACGCCGAAACGGGTAGAGCAACGAGGCTCCTCTTAAACGACAATTCTCGAACGCGATATTGGTCTGCTACCGCAACCAAGAATATTTTCTCACCAGCTACCAATCATCAGAGGAGAATTGAATCTGTCAGCAAGCTGTGTGGCCATCCTGGATGAGCTCGGGACGCCTGCTGGATGATCGGGATGCCAACTTCCCAGCGGCCGTTCCTTTGCAACGACCGCTCTGAGCGTTGCTTAATCACGACTACGATACCACATCTCGAGCTGCGGACGCATGGGGTCGTAGAATAGGTATATTGTGATGGCGAGAAGGCGCCCCAGCTCCTGAGGTGCTGGTATGCTCTTCTCGTTCTCGGGCTTGTTAGGTCGTTGCTGATATCTTCGGCCAAAACGCCGTCGACTATCCTTGGATGTGGAACATTCTTGACCAACTGAACGGGTGTGTAAAGGGGCAAGGTAAAGATCCTTTACCAAAACGATGCCTGACCTTCCAAGCGGTAACGAATCCCGTCCGTGGCCATCGGCAGCCGAACAAGCCAACGGTCTCCTTGGGCAAGAGGAATCTCAACAACTAGTCAGTGCCAGGCAAAAGAGCGTACACTTGCAGAACATGCGCCCGCAGGATAATATGGGCCTCGAGAACTGCAGCCAACCACCGCCCAAAACATGGGTGTGCGAGCTTCATCTGGGTGGTTTCCTTATCAATGACGCCCGCCAATGACAATATAACCAGCGCTAATTCTTGATGTTCCGGGGCGTCAAAGCCTAGTTTCCCCTTGATCCTGCCGGAAAACTGAAAGACGATTAGTTAGAACACGCAAATCCCAATAATACACGCCCATGTGATAGAATACCTGTTTGCAGTGCCCAAACGCACATCCCTCCAAGATGTAATAAGCCGTGGTAATAAGGCATCAGGGCGCCCAAGCTCTCCTCCAAATTGACGCCTCCCGGGCGAAGAAGACATCAGCTGGTTCTAGCTCAGGGTCATGATAGCACATCACCACATGGCCTCGGACTGTGGCGCGCTACTTATCACATTCCAGTGTTGGGCCAATCAACGGGCGCATCTCCTTCTCTGAGATGGTTCAGAGTTCACGCCACAGATGGTTCCATGAGGGTCTAAGACCGTTTTCTACGCCTAAAAGGAGTTGGATACCGGCTACGACGTACGAGTACTAGATTTGCCTTGACTCGTGCCAACCGTCCCCCCAAGTCCCTCAACTACGAACTTCCAGCTCTTCGGGTATCAAGATCAAATCGTCGCCATGTCGTCGGGTCCCCGGGGAACCCGTTATGGGCCACCGGATCTCAACTCCTCCTCCCCATGCCACGCTATTATCTCTTAAGCCAACCTTAATCCAGGGCCAGTCTCACCTTCTCCTGTCCCTAAGTTGCTTGAGATTGCCGCCTCCAGCCGTTCTACTTGGCTCCATCGTCCCTCCCATGTTCACATCGTCATTCACGACATGGAGCGCTCCATCTCCATACACCTGACGGCGTCGCGAGCTGCGCGTGCCGACAATGATACGGGCTCTGTTGGGGTATTGCCTGCGCCTCCTGGCATGACGCCAGATCTTCAAAACCCAAGAGACGCCGGACGTAAAACCTGCATCATCATCATGTCCGTTTGTCTCGGTCTGGTCACGATCCTTTTCTTTCTGCGCTCATATGTCAAGATACGCCTTGTCCGGAACTCCTTCTTGGAAGATGGTATGTACACTCAGGGAGAGCCTGGGCTTCATCAGAGTGACTGACGTGCGTGACCAGTAACTTGCACTATAGCCTGGGTATGTACCAGCGCCATGTTTGTCGCTCGTGAGCGTCGTTGACTCTTTGGCCAGGCCATGATCGTAGTATACTCAGCCACGGTATTAATGAGTATGTGACACCCGTCATGTGACACCCATTACACATTGCCACTGACCATATGTAGCGAATTCATACGGTGTTGGCTATCATGTCTGGGAGATATCGCAGGAAACATACTCAAACTCACTCAAGGTAAGGCGAAGCAATGGCTGCTCATCACAAACAGTCGAGGGTTCAACACAGTAAACTGACGACTTACAAGTGGCTCTGGGGCTGCTCGGTTGCATACTGTCCAGCCGCCTTCTTTACCAAAACGACACTTCTTCTCCTCATCGCGCGTGTCTTCGCAGTTGAAGAGCGCACCGCTCGCGCTATCTACTACTTCATCATCTTCATTCTGATCCTTTACCTACCTATCCAGATAGTCAAGACCATCATTTGCCTCCCGATAAAATCCTACTGGGACAAGAGCGTTCCAGGACGGTGCCTGGACCAGAAGAAGGCCTTTGTGGTTGACCTTTCCGTTGCCATCCTGACAGATCTTGTGATTCTCCTTCTCCCAATCCCCCTGACCTGGAACTTGCGAATGCCCTGGAAGCAGAAGTTGAAGATCTGGGCCCTCCTGGGCACCGGGGGTGCCGCAGTTGCCACAACAGTCTATCGCATGGTCAAGGCCATTCAATTCATGCACCAGAATGATGTGACGGCGGACATTGTTGCTTTGGATTTGTCAACGTAGGTCCTCATACTTTCCCCCATCGGTATTTTCCCATGAAGGCTAATCCAAGGTGGTGGCAGGATGGTTGAGTTGACGATTGGATTCTCATGTGCCTGCCTCCCGGCGCTTAACATCTTATTTCAGAGACGGTCGAACCGACGTTCCAATGGCAATTCGCCGCGCACAAGCAATAATAACAGCCCATGGCGAAGCTGGAAGTGGGATTTCATGTCCAGCACTGGGAAACCGACTTCGTCTGCGACAATCCATCACTCTGCGCCTTCTAGACTGCCATCTGTCACAGAGACCAAGGCGGGCCCGGTCAACTTCGACGTCGAGTTGGCCATGATATCAGATCCAGATGGCGGCGATGCAACTGTACAATCCCCTCGGGAACATGAAGAAGACCGAAACGAAGAACATTGGTTTGTTCACGAACGGGCCAACTCGTTGGATGGAAGGCGGCAAGGCTGGCTTGATCCACAGATACACCATCAGGCACATAATCCAATGTCATCTGAGAATGTCAGCGAGGACTCGCGAACGTCGGTGACAAACCCTTCAACGGAGCTAGCGAGGGTCAGTGGCAACAGGCCGTGGAGTAGAATCTTTGACGGGACCGATAATTCTCCACCACCTTGAGAACCCAAATGGACGGTTGGACGATCGTGACAGAACAGTCATTCGGCAATATCCGACAATGGGGACAAGGCTGTGACCCATTTCTAATGATGATTATCATGACAATGACGATTATTGTCATTCCTACCATGGCTTATGTTGGATACAGGGCTCGGCTGGGTGGGCGAGCCAATATCCCTGCGGAGGGGAGGGGACGGGAGGGGAGAAGGATATCACAACAATGACTACCCAACAAGGCAGCCACCATATCCTGCGTGCGTGATTAATACACGAACCACGAGAGATTCCTAGCGGCCTCTTTCGAATCCAGTTTTCTTCCTCTCAGTCCGATTGCGGCAACCAATGTACGCTCGCTACCAGGGAGCCAGACGGCGGCATGGATCGAGGCATCACCACCACCACATGCCATCAGCCAATGGAGTCATGGATGACTACGATCCAGACCGCATCCCCGCCCAACTACGGTCTAGAGGACCCTCTCAAATCAAGGTTGTTCCAAGCTTGAATTTAACCTAAAGAGTGCGGCTCTGGCGATTCCCGTTGCCATGCGCAGGGCCCAATGCGGTATATTATTGCCCGGCCATCAAGGTGCATCGCGGATGGTTCCACCACAACGTCTTGTCTCCTCTTCCAACTGACCAACCACCTCTTGGCCTCGTGTAAGTGAAGCCCGACGTGAGAACCCGGATGGCCATGTTGCTTCTCCGCAAAACTTTGCTTGGACTCTGCTCGTCCGTTTCCGCCTCCCGTCCAGCGCGACAGTCGGATCAGTTGTGGTGCGACCAGACTCCGCTTGACCGTCTGCTTGCAGGCATATGGGAGCATGGCAAATGAACGATACTGTGCTACGGGTTCATGCCGTTTGGATGATCATTGGGACTTGCCATCCTGCGGCTTCTCTAGTCCCGGACTCCTCGCCCGATGCGTTGCCATCCCTGCCCTGTCAACATGGCGTGCCATGCTACGGCCTGCAGCATCGGCTTAGACCTTTTGAATTTGCATGGAGTGGGGGTATCCCGCTTGTTGCTATGGCTTTCTACTTCCTTCGTTAGTGAAAAGTGCTAGGAACACAAGCGACAATCCAGGCGTGAGTGGAGTAGCAAAGGCTTTCTCTTAGTGATGGAAATTGGAATATGGCTGGCTAGATCCATCTCATGGGAAGAGCATGGCATGGTGAAAAGTTATAAAACTCTTGCCCTTCCGCGGCCTTCACATCCAAGAGAACACTTGCCTCATCGCGCCTTTCAATCTTCACCTTCAAGGTCAATCCTCTCTTCAGCAAGACTATCCACCAACGTCTTCCATTCCCCAGACAACACAAGCTGCCCAACATGAAGGTCCTTGCCGCTTCCGCTCTTCTCTCCCTGCTCTCTTCCGTCTCGGGATCCCCCGTCGACATCCGAGCTGAGAAGACCACCTCGGTGCTCTCTGCCCCCCAGACTACTCAGACCAGCTCCTCCGTCTACGACTGGTCTGCCAAGTGGGAGCCCAAGTTCCAGATCCACCAGTCATGCAACGTCACCCTCCGTGCCCAGCTCGAGACTGCCCTCGACGAGACTGTCCAGCTTGCCCAGCATGCCCGTGACCACCTGCTTGCCTTTGGCAACTCCTCCGACCTTGTCGTGAAGTACTTTGGCAATGGCTCAACCGCCGGCCCCATTGGCTGGTATGACCGTGTTGTCGCCGCCAACAAGGACGGCGTCATCTTCCGTTGCGACGACCCCGACAAGAACTGCGCGACCCAGAACGGTATGTGACCATAGAACTTTTGCCATCTTGCAAGACGTGTTTCCATTCAGCTAACATTCGTTCGTTTACAGGCTGGGCCGGCCACTGGCGTGGATCCAATGCCACCTCCGAGACCGTCATCTGTGATCTCTCCTTCCAGATCCGCCGACGCCTCAACTCCATGTGCGGCCTTGGCTACACTGTCGCCGGCTCCAAGCTCAACACTTTCTGGGCCACTGACCTGCTCCACCGCGTCTTCCACGTCCCTGCCATCAGCGAGGGCATCGTCGACCACTACATCGAGGGTTACAACGATGCGCTCCAGCAGGCCAAGGAGAAGCCCGAGCTGAGCCAGCACGACAGCAACGTCCTGCAGTACTTTGCTGTCGACGCCTGGGCCTACGACATCGCCGCTCCCGGTGTCGGCTGCACTGGCAAGGCCGCCGAGAGTTCTTCCAGCCACAGCTCCCCTACCAGCACCCAGAGCTCTGCCCCCAGTGCTACCAGCGACTCCCCCAAGGTAAGATAAGGACGGATTGGCCTCTGGCTCAGTGTTCCTGCTTTTCTTTTTTATTGGATACAGGTATGGCTAACATGACCATGCAGGAATGCCACACCCACTCCGACGGTGTCGTCCACTGCTCTTAATCTGATTCACTCGCCTTCAGAGCCCCATAGCATCGCATTTATATGATAGATTTCTGCCTGATGAAGAGATGGATAACGGAATATAGATGAAACTAATGCATTAATTGACTTGATGTCTCTAATTCAACTGTGAACTATGATGTGCCCTACGAACATTAGCTTCACCGTGACCAGCGTGTCTGTCTGATTCCTCAAAAGACAACTTCCTGATGCTCTGTCCGTTAAAATGAGGGCAAAGAAAGAGATAATTACTAGAAGAACTCATAACGATGGCAACTGTCAGGTTCACAGTCTACCCACTGGAGGAGAACCCTCATATTACGCCAGTAGGCAAGGTCGAAGTCAAAAAGACAAAAAGAATAAACATACAACAGCAGGTATTCGCTGGTCGTCACCGACCCAACTACTAATCCGCCCCTCAGAGGCTTGACTATGGGAGAGCGAACGGGATCCCGTATTTTCCTTTGGGTATGGTCGTATGTGGGAGATGAAAGCTATCGTGGGAGCTATAAGCCCTAGACCCCACCACAACACAAAATGATAAAAATACAAAGCATTCCAGCCAAAAAGACATACAACAGCGGGTATTCGCTGGTCGTCACCGACCCAACTACTAATCCACCCCTCAGAGGCTTATCTATGGGAGAGCGAACGGGATCCCGAGTTCTCCTCTGGGTATGGTCGTATGTGATAGATTTGTTGTCATGATGCATTATGTACCTTCCTTTCAAAAGGTGAACAAAATCAAACTAAGGCCTCGTCATTCAAGTTTGGTCAATGAATTAGCAGCAGCTAGATCACAGAAGATCAACCGGGCTCTTCCCAAGCAGATCGGGGATTGAGATGTAATCTTCGATGTACAGCACCTTATGGTCGAGTAACTTGATATTAAAACCTCATTTTCTTCTACTTTGATCTCTTTCTGAAAGAATGCCATGAGACAACTAAGTAAATTAGCAGTACTTCAAGATAGCTTGTCAAAGGATGATGTGGAGGGTTTGTTAGAGGTGGCGAACAAGGGCGATCGTGGTTGATGGTGTTAGAGGGTGAGTGTAGAGGCAGTCGGCTTTGCACCACGCTGGAGGGTAAACCCAACCTGCAGAGTAGCAAGGCACAGTCAATGAGCTTGCAGCAGCAAAGTACATGAAGCTTGATTGTAGCATAATGTTGTCTGTAGTCTCGGCCATGACTGGCCCCTCGTTACAGCCCGTCTTGATGAGATCAAGCGTTTTGACCCTCGAGGTCAGAGAACAATTGGCACAAACACCAGCCATACCAGCGATAGCCGGTGAGTAAGGGAACCAGTTCATAAAAACTATGCAAAATGAGCCGGAATCAGGGAAGTTTTGGAAGCACTGGTGGCTCGTTCTTCACAATCGAAGCCATGGCGAACTCCCGGAAATCAACCCTGGTAATGGCGAATCTCTTCAGCCAAAAATCGCCTGCAAGAATCGAAGCAAAGAACGAGCGTCCTTGAGAAAGAAGTTCTTAAACATTCTTATTCTACATATCGTCAATTGACTTCCCAAGGCGATTGCCCGGATTGACCAGTCGACGATCGCAGGGCCTCCGTCAGGCAGCTCGGGGACTCTCCAATCGAAGCAAAACACCACATTGGCCATTCGGGATCTGTATCCTCGATGTTCACCAACCTTGAAAATCAGGCTATGCCGGATGAAGAAAGGGACAGTCTCTTCTTTGGTGAGCTCCATCCAGAGACTGTGTTGAAATGACGGACAGGTGGCGGGATTCAATGGCTCACGTCCGTATTTTTAACCGTGAATTCGTCACAATAATGCAAACCTGTAGATTCAAACGTGTCATCCAGTGGAGTGACGAAGCCAATTGGAAACTCTAGCTTCTAAAGGTCTCTACCGGGCTGCGGATCTCTTAGAGATCTGTAGCGAAAAGAGCCAATGCATCACACAGCGAACTTGAAGAGCAGGCAGAGGAGTGTACTGTAACACACAGGGGCACTGAGCTTCCTGAAATGCACTGCTATGAGCTTGCCATTGACCTCTTTGAAGACCAGGTCAAATGATGGAAGCACCTTTCCATTCGGCATATCGACCGCGTCATGGAGTCTGCAGAAACACTCGCCAGGAGATTCTCCAGTACGGGATTACAGAGGACGAGTAAACCGCCATAAGACTGTGCGCCCCTTCATCAGCCTGTTCTTCAAGGATGAAAGTCAATCTTAGCAGAGAAATTGGCAGAGCTTCTTCTAGATCGTCACAAATCTCGATTCCTTCTGGCCCTCGAAGATATCCTCGGGACTGGAGTGAAGCGCTGCAGCCACAGTCGCACGCAGCGCCATGCGGTAGAATAGTAGAGGGTGATAAAATACTACGAGGTGTGCTCAAGGCCCTGAAGGGTCACGAAGTGCAAAAAATCCCCTCAATTTGCATCACGACACCATTCAAGAGTGAGGATATCCGCCATGATGAAGTCTACGATCGAATTTTAAAGGGTAGGTTCCTCCTATTTCATCATATTACCTCTTTCTTTGTTTTGCAACCTGTTCTTTTGATGGTCTTGGAGGCCTTTATGACAAATGTCATCATCCTTGGGGTGGAGAAGCCACTGATGGCCCAAATCCCACAAGCAAAATCATGCAGCTCAGCGATAAACAGCAGGAAAAATTGGCTAGAAATCCGTGGGAAGTGAAGCAAGCTCAAGTATAATCGAATGATGGCCTCGGAGGAGCTAGGGCCGGTGCCGAGCTGTGCGGGCATTGGCGTTAGACAAAAGCAACTTACCAGCCACCAGTTTCGTGATAGAAAATTGACCCTTGGTCCAATCTACCTAACGAAGATACTCCATAGCTCCAGGGACTAGAATGAAGGATCTTGAGAACCTAGTGATCTCGGCTAGGAAGATCGAGTGTCTCGAGGCAGGCGTCAAAATTGAAGCAATGGGGGAGGAGGGGCACTGGCGGGCGGTGCGCCAGAATGATCACTGGATAGCTCCAAATTCGGTATCTATTCATTTTTATGGGAAATAAATATCCAAAGCGATTGATTTCACGATATGAACGCATGAAAATCGCCTATCATCACTTCTTTAAGGTTTTCTCTCCCAGTTACCTCTCCCCGTCAGTGCGCGGTGAGGGCAAAAAAGGGGTTTCAAGCCCACGGAACACTTCAACAAAAGGTATTCCCCAAGGGAGGCCGACCAGCGTCGCAAGTTACATCTCAGCCAAAATTTAAACCACTTCATTTGACAACAAATTGAATATACATGGATGGGCCATGTCTCGGACATCTCCAGTTTCAGCGGGGAGGCACACATGCGAAGCCTTCGCTTGACTTGAGCTCAGTGACTGGGTGATCAGCAGTGAGAAATCCAATCAATGCGGCTAAACAGTCACGCGCAGCAAGCACGCACAGGCTGCGATTATAAATAGCTGTCCCCTCCTCCCGCCGCGTCCTCCCACCCATCTTCCTTTCCTTCCAATCCTCCCCCTTTTTCCGGTAGAATCTCCTATTTTCCATCATTCGGGTACTTTCCCACGCATTCATACTCTGCTAGAAACAGAGAGCAACGTAAAAAGCTCTTACACAACACATCTTGCGCCTAAGATCAGCCCCTTTTTCAATTGACACTCCTCAGTTACGCAACGTTGCTGCCACCAATCCACACAAAATCCATCACAATGGCTGGCAACAACGTCATACTTATCACGGGCGCCAATCGAGGTATGTTTTTCTTCCTGCGCTGTGGCTGCCCACCCTGTGAACGATGATGTGCGACAAAAAAGGGGCTGGCGACCACGGTGAGGGGTAGCAATGCTCTCTCTCCTCCATTGAGCGTCATCTCATTCATGCCCTCTCTGCCTCTGTCGCATCCTCCTCTCCTATATCTGCCACTGAAAATGTTGGTCTTGAATCGCCTGCTGACTTGGCCACTTCCACCCCAGGCATCGGCAGGCAAATGGCAGCATCACTCCTGCTCCGACCTGCCACCACTGTCATAGCCACTGTCCGTGACCCAGCCCACGAGCTCTCCAAGTCGCTCGCGGACCTCCCCGCCGGCGAAGGCAGCAAGATCCTCGTCTCCGTCTTTGATGCAAAAGAAGGACCCGGCGCTCTACTCGCAGCCCTCGCCGACGCAGGAATCCAGCACCTCAACCTGGTCATCTCCAACGCCGGTAACTCGGATGCGTTCCGCTCCGTGCTCGAGACCGATCCCAGCGCGCTGCGCGATGACTTTGAGGTCAATGCCGTCGGCCCATTCCGCCTCTTTCAGGGATGCTGGCCGTTGCTGTCCAAGGCCGAAACCGGGAGCGACAAGAAGTTTGTCCTCATCACGAGCTCAGTCGGTAGTATCGCTGGCATGGAGCAGGAGAGCTTCCCCGGGGTCGCGTACGGCGCAAGCAAGGCGGCGGCCAACTGGCTCGCCAAGAAGATTGGGACAGAGCTGGCGGGCGAGGGGCTGCAAGTCGGCATCATTCACCCTGGGTAAGTGGCATTTCAGGACCGTTTGCGAGCATGGCGCCTCAAAGTGATAATTAAAGAGCCCTTTTTTACTGACACTGTCACATCATCAGATGGGTCAAGACTGGGATGGGGCAGGCATTGGCCGACACAGTTGGATTTCCAGAGCCACCGATGACGATTGAGGACAGCAGCCGGGGAGTACTTGAACAGGTTAGTTTGATTCCCAGCCCTCTGCTTCCTCTCCACCCTTTCCCCGAAGAAGAAGATGGATGGCCTTCGAGAGCGACCTTATCAGGAGGTATTAACATTAGACCAGATCGACAAGTTGTCCTCCGAGACCTCTGGCAAGTTTCTTGCTTTCAACGGCGAGGTGATCCCTTGGTGATGATGGGGCGGAAGCTGTCTCAGTCGCCCCTTGAGCTCTTGGTCACATAGATCGCAGATTCAAAGGCGCAAGTTAGGAAGAATGAGAAATGATACTGTTTCTATGCCGCTTTTTATCTTCTTTCGACGTGAAAATTATGCTCATGGGGTATAAATCGTAGAGCGCCAGTACAAAATATGCAAGGAACAGAACCAAATACAGCTAATCATCGCGTAATGCTCGTCCAACATTATCCATCTCCAACAATTATGAATTATCCTCCGTTTCCCTCCCCATTACATCTATTCTCGCTTCCCATCTCTCTCTCCATCACGAAAGTTCATCACACTAGAGTCGGGAGAGGATTATGATCGCGCCCGATTATTTGGCTGCTCCTGGTGGTGGGGGGGGACTTGACTCGTCACCAGCTGGCCCAGCTGCTCTGGAAGATTCACCCCTCTCCTCCCCTGTGGTCACGTTTCGCGGCTGGACATCAGATTGAGGAGAGACCGCTGGTACGGGTGGCGGAGGTGAGGTGGGAGCCTGAGGAGCACTCGAAAGAGGGCTAGGCACTGTTGGCGGCGGCGAACGCGGTGGGAGAGCAGGTGAAGCCTCCTCCGCTTGTTGTCGCGTAGTTGTTTGAGGGGCCACATGCGCAGGTTGAGGTGCCTGAGGGTATGGGTAGTACATGGGCATCGTCGGGGGAGCACCACCTTGCGGCACTGCTACCATGGGCTGTTGCGTGAACTTGAAGCCCTCGGGGAGCTGGTGTGCAGGTACCATCACCTGTTGGAAGGTGGGTTTGCCATCAGGTCCAGGGGGGCCTTGGACGTAGTAGACAAATCCGGCACCAGGGGCACCAGCCATGGGCGCAACGGCGGGGGCATTAGGGTCCGGGTTATGGTATTGAGGGTGAGCACCCAGGAGATCGACGGGGTAGCGATGACGGAAGCCCCATCGGAACCAGAGACCAAGGGCAGTTCCGAAGCCGACCTTCTTCCATTGCTCACGTAGCGTCTTTTGGGTCTCGTCGTCGCGAGCTGGGCAACGACGGGTAGCAAAGATGATAGGCCAGATCAAAAAGATCCAGCAGCACGTTCCAAAGCGCAACGAGAACTTGCCCACCATCATGCGGCGGAACCAGAAATAGGATTCGAAGAAGCCAATGAGAAAGATGCCCGGCAAAACGGCCGCGAGGACGATGGCCCATGTCTGCAGCACATTGCTGTAGTACCACCAATAATCGCTATCACTATCGTCGCTACTACTACCGGTGTAGATGCTGGTCGATGTGGCGTAGCGAGAAGTGGTGGTGCGAGTAGTAGGATAGCGGGCAGTGCCAACTGCAGTTGGGTTAGTACACCTGCGGACATAGTATGAATAGTAGTAGTCATCTGTGCTGGCGGTTGCGGTGAGTTGCGGGAAGGCAGATGCAGGAACATATGCAGTGACTAGGGTGTACTTGTCACCCTCATAGCCAGTTGAGACAGATGCCTCGGTGCTGAGGTCAGTCCTCTGCTCCAGAACCTCAGTCGGGATGTCCGTCACTTGCTGGTATGTTTCGACAGTGAAGGCAACGGGACAAGACGACGGCGCTGTCCACACGACCTCCTGAACGTAGCTCGTGTAGGCATACGTGTAGGCAGTAGCAGAACGATCATAAGTTGAAGTAGGCACGATGTCTCCGGTTGGGATCTGGGCCCCATCAAGATACATGTAGACGACCTCCAGGCTACCATAAGAACGCGTCCTGGTGCTTGTGGACGTAGGAGTTGCAGTAGGAGTGATGCCGGGCTTGACGGTGACTAAGCCGGTATATGTGTCTGTGTAGGTGGTCACACTGGTGCCATAGGTATATGCATATGTGGAAACCGTGGGTCGAAGGGCAACGTATGAAGTGACAGTCCAGGTCACGGCTGGACCTGTTGAAGTTGAAGTTGTGGTTCGAGCGGCGTCGCACAAGGGGACAGACGCTGCCAGCGCCGAAAGGGCGAGGCGAAGAAGTGAAGGCATCTTGAGGTCAATCCCACAAGCCAACCAGCGAAATTACACACGGCTCTTCTTGACCTCCTCTTTGTGTCGCGAGAAGAGAACAACGGATTAGACAGCAATTAACCACCGGACGAGCGAGTGGCGGAACGAGCGAATAGATAAATAAACGAGCGAATGCGCGAGTGCGTGAACGAATGAATGCTGCCACAGCACAAGGGCAGCTGCTGCCTAGGACCGACCAGGAGAGAGTACAGAGAAATATAAGAATGGGTGGCAACCGGAGAGGGTGCCACAACAAGTAATTAACGAATGCCCAGCGTGCAGGCCGGGCTGGGCCGACAAGCGACTGGGCTGGACTGGCCTCTGGGACAAGAGGATCATGGGGATGAGACGGACTGGGCTGAGCAAGGACCGTACTACAACCTTCCTGCTTGGCTTGGCATGAGTCAACGGGAAAACTGCCAATGGGAGAAGTGGCATCAGGAGACGCGACCCTGGGAGAGTAGCTGCATGAGGGATGGCGCGGGTGAGGCTATCCCACAACCAGAACCCCTGGTCGGCGAGCTATATTGGCAACTGGAGTCGAACGAGAAATTTTCCCATCAAGCAGTCAGCATCTGTGGGTCTAGATACTACCCTTTTGTGGCATGTGGTTGGCCTCTTGGTCTCCCACCTCCCGAATGCTCGAGAGGCGGATGCTTGGCAGCATTTCGCGTTTGGAGAAAGGAGGTTTAGGTAAGCCTGGTGCTTGATTTGGGGGTCACAACGGCCAACGAGGACCGTCCATACGAGGCATTCCAAGGGATCTCACAGCCGGATGGATGGTGGTGAGGTGACAGGCAGGGATGGATGGTGGCCAGCGATAAGGCTGAATAGGCGCTCCCAGGATTCAGGAAGAGGTGAATGAAGCATAAATATGTGAATCGCCGTTATACCCTAACCGACTCGGGCTGCATGCGATGCTACTTATTTCGCAGCACACAGAGGGACCTTGGAAATGAGGTGGGCCAGGCCGCCAAAGTCCTCTCATGAAGGAGATGAGCTGTGCCGCGGTCCAGCAACTATGCACCAAAGTACCGCCGTGCCTGGCTTCTCTCGTGTAGCAGGATGATATCGAGCAGGCAGGCTGGAGAGCCATAAAATATGCCACATGAAGATCGTCCAGATGGCGCAGGGCAGATCGAGAGTATTGGCGGGTGGCTTGCGCCGACGCAGCAGTGACAACATCCATCTGGCGCATAATAATGGGCTGTATATAATTAGAGACCGCCTGCTCCCGCCAAGCCCAAGCTCATTTTACTCGGCGGTGGACTCACAGCCTAGCCTGCATGTCCCTGGTCACGATGGGACTTTGGCTGGGACCGAACTCCAAGGTCGGTCGGTCCTGGTCCGGTCCATCAGATCAGTCATCAGGCTGCTCGGGATGTGGAAGTCTAAGCTGGATAGGCTTTGGTTGTGCCCACTCCTCGTCTCCAAATCCGCAATGATTGTCCTCTCTCCAGCAGCTCTAGGCCATCCAAGCATGTGCTGGGCTGATGGTCAATGCTGCACGAGGGTGTAAATCAATCTGACATGCTGATTCATTCAGTCGGTTGGCCAGATAGCAGTAATCGCAATTGACCATCATGAGCTCTTTCTCGACGCCAACTCGTGCTCGTTCTTGCAACCAGACATTGATGTTGGAGCCATGCTGTCCTCCATGATACAGTAGCTGCCCTGGCTCCCGGGTAGGCTGTCGAAAGTGGTGACGTGACCTCGGCTACAATTTCCCAGACTGAGGTGATCTGATCCACCGAAAGGGAGAATGAATCAACCGTTTGAACAGTCGCAATCGTCAATGCCTATGTCCCCGTGTCGTGCTGTGTTTCGTCGCAAAGCATCTACAGGAATCTGCCATCGAAGATAACTCTGTCCCGTGAAAATGCCTTTCTGGGGGCTACTTGATCGTGTCTCTCAGCTGTTTCCTCCCCAGCCCGAATTCACCGGGGAGCAGGTCCCAGACCTCCATGGCAAAGTGAGAAACCAAACTCAAAGTATCTCGTTACACAACTTGGCATGTCTCATTCTTCTCTTTGCTCTTCGCATCTCTAGGTCTACATAGTCACCGGAGCCAATACCGGTGTAGGCAAGCTCCTCGCTGAGATCCTTTATTCCCGCAATGCAAAGGTCTACGTTGCCGCTCGTTCAGAGGAAAAGGCCAACAATGCCATCGCTTCTATCAAGGAGACTGGTCCGGATTCCAAGGGCGAGCTAGTCTTCTTGCATCTTGATCTCGCTGACTTGAAAACCATCAAGGCCTCCGCCGATAACTTCCTACGGCAGGAGACCAAGCTGCATGTCCTCTTCAATAATGCAGGTGTTTTGTTCCCCCCGGCAGGCTCCAAGACCGTCCAAGGCTATGAAGTTCAGCTCGGTGTCAACAATGTCGGCACTTTCATGTTCACCAAGCTCCTCACGCCTGTGCTTGTCGAGACGGCCAAGACCGAGGAGCCAGGCACCGTCCGCGTGGTGTGGGTGTCCTCGTCGGCTGCCGAATCGCCCTCGGTCCCCCGTGGCGGCGTAGACCTTGACAACATCGACCAGCGCGGCTCCAGGTTCAATCTCGACAGTTATGCCCTCAGCAAAGCCGGGAATTACCTACATGCCGTCGAGTTCGCCGAGCGCCACAGAGCTGATGGCGTCGCCAGCATTCCGTTGAACCCAGGCAACCTTCAGTCGGATCTTTGGAGGACGCAGTTTGCCGTCACTAAGCTTTTCCTATCCACCTTTTTCCTGCATCCTCCTAAGCTCGGGGCTTACACAGAATTGTTTGCTGGACTGTCACCAGAGGTTACGATGGAGAAAACCGGTCATTGGGGTGAGTGAAGAATGAGCGTCATTGAGTCTGTCTCAAAAAATGCCTTGATCTTGTCGCGCCTCCTCCATCCCCACTCCCTTGATGACAGCAGCCTTCGAGTGGGTTTTCTCTTTTGACTTTATGCTGACTCCCGTGTCTAGTTGGACCATGGGGTCGATTTATGCCAATTCGCAATGACCTGCGGCTTTCTACCAAATCCAAAGAAGACGGTGGGTATGGTACAGCAAAGGCGTTCTGGGAGTGGAATGAGGAACAGGTCAAGCCATACCTCTGATCGTGATGAAACCACCGTGGGACAGACCGATGGATGTATGACGAATGCTCTCTGACACCTTAGAGACGGTGAGGGCAAGACTTGCGTGTATGTTATCTCGTTCAGTATTATACCTAATCGTTAGTCGCTGAATGCCCCTCTACTACCGGTAAAATTATCGTCCCAGCCACGGGTGGCGTGGCAGGATAACCTCTCAGCTGGGGATATGCTCAATGACTTCACTATGCAATGACTTCGATGCACAACCCTGCCCACCCCGAACGGTCACTTACGCACAGGCCTATGGCTAGCGATTCACGGGCCAATCTTTGTCCCATAAAATCTCTTGCTGTCAAGCTTGGCACTCCTCTCACATACATGTACCTTCAAGCGAGCCTTTCCGTCAAGGATATGATCATCGTTCAGATATTCAACCGGTTGAGTGCCCTCTTGAGCGCCTTTTTTCACTTCTAAAATCCGGCGCACATGCAATGGCAGACCGTGCTATAGCTATCCAGAGGCTGGGGGTAGCCTGGCCACCTTCAAGCTGAAAATTGAGGAGATCAACCAACGCGAAACTGTTCATCTCGAGACGCAACATATGTGAATTCAGAAAAATGAGGCTCTCGCCGCCTGGTTTTAATATGAACGGGTTTCCTGCGGACGTGGAGGAATGCGATGGCGCGTATGTCAACGTCGAGACAAAGCATATTGTTTTCCTCGACTACTTTAGTCAACGCGTGAGCTTGGTTGGCGGCCAAGGGCGAATGTTTACCAAGCATCTGCCAAGCATCCTATAACTCCCCTGAAATTAAGGAATATTTGGAAGCTCAAGTGCTGGTAAATAATGCGCGCTAATTAAACTATTGGCAAAGCGCACGCTTGACCTACTGCTCTCGGCCATCAATACGTCCATTCGTCATCTCCGGCGACACACTCCTGCTCTCCGAATGATCCAGGACGTAATCACCTCCAAGGGGCACTTTCTGTTGGTGTTAAGTTGTGATAACATGCTCCTCGGGGCATCAGAGCAAAATAATCTACAACAGCACTGGCAAGATTGATGACCTCAGCCCAGCTGGCGCTGGCATTCTGGAGACATGAAGTAACAACCTTCTGCCGTCAACTTACGATGAGTTCGATATGCCTCCTCGCCTAACGGGAACCCCTTGTACAAACCGCGAGGGGTGCCAGCCGCTTCTTCCTTTCAGTGTTTCAAGAGAGACTGGCATCTTGCATGGCAGGCTTGGGTGATGAGTCCCTCTGCAACTTTTATCGGTAAAACTACCCCTGTCCAAAATGCAGCCGAGGAATGGGACTTCGAGGCACTCATGAGCCGTACGCGGTATCGATAATTTTGAAGACTCCAATGTTGGTTCTGATATTGTGCACCAAAGTATAGCATTGCTGCTCCATCGTTCGCCTGTCATAATGCAGTGGTGCTTCTCTTTCCTTCTCTAAATAGAATCTATCAACCGACAGATATGTTTTTATTCTTTCTTTTGGGAACCTCAGAGGCTCGCTTCATGCCAACGGCTTGTCAAAAACTCTGTATTCGGCCGGCCCAGCGAGAAGAGGGGCCAGGTCGGGATAATCCCGGTTGAAGTCGCCGAGTTTTACATATTCGTATCCGAGCCGCTTGTACCAAGCTTGCATTTTCTCCTTGGAGGCATTCGTGCAGTGTGTAGGCACAAGCAGCTCGAGCTGCATCACGGTGCACCCCTCGCTGCGGCAGTACTCCTCCGCGAAGCTGACGAGCAGACGGCCGAACCCAGACCCATGGTGGGCCGGATCGACAGCGAGCATGCCGAACTCGCCTCGCTCGGGCGTGAGTTTCTTGATGAAGACGCAGCCAATGGGCTCGTTGGAGGGGCAGAGGTAGGCTACGGCAAGTTTCCGGCTCTGGATAAA